TTAAACTAATCTCTTTGAGAGGAAATCCTTACACCTGAGATAGGCTTGAGACTATCTGATCACCTTAGCACAGCTCAACACAGAGAAAATACAGCAGGATCTACTCTTAAATTGTAAGAGCTTTACTAATCAAAAGTGTTCTGAGCTCCCAAACCTAGGTCTTCCTGGCTAATTCCACTTCTTTGTTTCTTAGCTGTAGGCTTATTGATGTTTCAAGACACTTTAGCACAGGGTTCCCTCTCTGTGCTTTAAGATCAGTGTTGATGACAGATACACTTACTATAACATTGCAATTGCACCTCTTCTCCTTACCTCTGTTTTGGAATTCTGCGTGCTGAAATTCCACTCTATAGTATGATTTTAAATTAGAAAAATATTGGCAATATTTTAATGAAATTTTTTAAATGAGGCTATGACAAGATTAATTGACAAAATAAAGTAAAATTAAAAACAATAAAGAGCTGAAAATTCATTTTTCTTCTTCAATAGCTTCACTAAATTCCTTCCTTCCTTCCTTCCTTCCTTCCTTCCTTCCTTCCTTCCTTCCTTCCTTCTTTTCCTCCCTTCCTTCCTTTCTTCCCTCTTTCCCTCCCTTCCTTTCCTCCCTTCCTCCCTTCCTTTTTCCATAGTAGTAGCTGGAATAGGATTTTTAACAAAACAACAACACAGATACATTTTTCCTGTCTGGAAGACAAAAAAAAAAAATGGAGTCTTGAAACACCTCTAAGTTAATTCCATTTTAGATAATTTGGAATACATACAAGATTTAAACAAGAAGTTTGAAGAAGTATTAATTTTCCCATGGTGAATCATTACAGATAACAAAGGCTACCATTTACCTTGGTCCATTTTGAGAATGCCTCTAAGTTCTAAATCACCCCCAGGATTTTTTCAGCACTTTCTCATAAGAGTTTAGTTTTATGGATAGAAATATAAAAGTAAACAACCAGCTACATAACATTTTAAATAACAGAAGTTGCCATCTAAATTAAATACATTAGAATTACTGACAAGAGATTATGAGTGGATTAAGAAAAAATGCAATTACACATATTAGGAAAGTTATATTCCAACTGGAAAGTAAGATAAAATAATCAAATGGAATTTAAAAGTCTGAGTATGCATTATTTTAAGGAGTTGGGTGATATAGAAGGGGATCTTATTCTTTTGTAGTTTCCTGATCAAATATGCCAATTAATTGTGTCATATACTAAGAATCACACAGGAAAATGTTCAGAATAGAAAAACAAAATATGAGAAAAGATGAGTATGTGTGTATGTATTTGTATGTTTTGGGGTGAGCTTTTCATATGTCAGAGAGTTTTTTCTCCAATCAGTTTTAGTAACATCTTCACACACGTTATCCTCTTAGATTTAAAAGAACTTCAGAATGTTTGCTAGAAAACAATCACATAGATTGAATAATCACTTTTGCTAGTGACATGAAAGATAAAATTCCTTTTTTCATTGACCTCAGAACTTTCCATATTCTTTTAACAGGATAAAAGCAGATGCTGCCACAGAGACTGTCATTCCCATGGATATTTAAATATATTACCACTTGGGGGCCAGGCGCTCACGCCTGTAATCCCAGCACTGTGGGAGGCAAGTTGGGTGGATCACTTTATATCAGGGGTTTGAGACCAGCCTGGCCAACATGGTGAAACCCTGGCTATGCTAAAAATACAAAAATTAGCTGGTGGCACAGGCCTATAATCCCAGCTACTTGGGATGCCCAGGCGGGAGAATTATTTAAACCTAGGAGGGGGAGGTTGCTGTAAGCTGAGATCATGCCACTGCACTCTAGCCTGGGCAACAGAGCAAGACTCTGTCTAAGTAAATAAACAACTTACCACTTGGCACCACAAATGTAATCTAACAGGGATGTTAATAAAAAGAAGGCTTCTCTTGCTTATACTCACTTTAAATGTTAATAATATAATACTGACAGGAGGCAGGGAAATCCTGGGTAGAAGACAGCAATTCCCCAGCAAAGGTCCCGCCCTCAAGCCTGGAAACCCACGGCCCTAAATGGGAACAGGCATTCCTGTTTTCACACTCAGATGTTGTCCTTTGGCCTGCCACACCTCCCTATCCAGTACCCATAAAAACCTCAAACCTCAGGCTCCACAAAGAGAAGAACAGAGATGCAGAAAAGCAGCAGAGCGAAAGAGCGGTGCAGCAGAGAAGGAGAGAAGCAAAGGAGCATCTGAATGTCGAGACAAGTGTGGCTGGGGATGGTCATAGAGGAGATCAGCCACAGGACAGCCAGACTCCAAGGGAAGATCATCTCCCCACACCATCCCCTTTCCAGCTTCTCATCCATTCCACTGAGAACCACCTCCATCCAACAATAAAATCTTCTGCATTTACCATCCTTCAATTTCCCTGTGTGACCTGACTCTTCCTGGACACAGACAGGAACCTGGGTACTAAGAAGGCACTGAGCTGGTTAACACTTAAGCCATCTGCAGATGGCACAGCTAAAAGAGCATTATAACATGCTTTGGGAGTGGCAGGCACCCACCCGTAGATGCTACCTTGGGGCCAGAGCCCAAAAGTGCTGGCCCCAGTTCCTGCACCTACCTGTCTGCATGCTCCCATTCCTGAAAGGGGTTTGAGCCCATGGCAGCCAAACAGATGAGCCACAACCCTGTCGCACATCCTGCGAGGGGAGTCTGGGAACTCCTGTTTCATTAACATCATAAATTATCTTAAGAATGTCAAATTTAAAACAGCGTTTTGATGCATCTTAGTCCATCTTGTTTCTATTTGTCAAAGTTGTTCACTGCTTCCATCATTCTTTATACAGTTGTGTGCATTTCTGTGGAAATTTTCTGGATTGAGAGGCCTTGTATTTTATAGAATGTATTTTCATTGCTCATGTTTGCGTAATCACCTCTGAAGAAATATATTTGAAAAGGTGATGGTTTTGTTCTTTTAAAAGCTTAGTCATACATATCTATCTGAAAATTCAAAAACAATATAATCAAAAGCCTGAATTATAACTGAGTTGAATAAAATTAGTATCTAGAAAATATAATTAATATCCAAAAAGAAAATTACACTTTATAATTCAGTTTCCTTCCTCCCTCCCTCCCTCCCCTCTCCCCCTCACTCCCTCCGTCTCTCTCTCTCTCTCTCTCTCTCTCTCTCTCTTTCTTGGATGGAGTTTCACTCCACCCAGGCTGGAGTGTAATGGCATAATCTCTACTCCCGGCAACCTCTGCCTCCTGGGTTCAAGCAATTCTCCTGCCTCAGCCTCCCAAGTAGCTGGGAATACAGTCACCTGCCACCATGCCAGGCTAACTTTTTGTATTTTTAGTAGAGACAGGGTTTCACCATGTTGGCCTGCTGGTCTCAAACTCCTGACCTCGGGTGATCTGCCCACCTCGGCCTCCCAAAGTGCTGGGATTACAGGAGTGAGCCACCGCATCCGGCCTACCTTCTTTTCATATCACTTTTTTATATACAATTACATAAAAGATATCACAAAGCCTTTACATAAAAATAAAATCGCTTATTCATTATTATTATATATGTATTCATAACTGCAACTAAGAATCTGCTGATTTTTTATGTAACTTTAATGCTAAGAAAGGAAACTCAGGCCAAAGAAGGAATCTTCTGAAGATCTTTAAATTCCCAGTCAGAATTTATCCACAGAGTCAGAGTAATTGGACATTTAAAAAGAGGGAAAAGACCTTTAGAAAGAGGGAAAAGACCTAGTGACCAAGTTGATTTCCACAGCCTACCTGTGGTCTCTCAACATTCTTACATCTTCAGGTTATTGTCCTGAGATTTATGCTTTTTCTAATATATATCTCCATTTATGGTCTTGAATTCAGCTTACTTCACCCCAGACCTGGAAAACTGTCAGCCAACAAGCCCTGTCAGGCCCCCAGACAGGTTTTGCTTGGGCATGTTATTGACGATACAATGTTTTAAAAAATAGTATCTGACTTTGAGCACTTTAAATGTATACATATATGGCACTCCTCCTGAACAAGTGGAATTTCTGGTGACCCGGGACCTCTTCCCGCATGACAGCAATTAGTTTGTGTGAAGCTACCCAGAAACCAGATACGTTATCTTGAGTTTTCTATCCTTTCTTCTATTCTTTAGGGTCTTACCGACCCCCAAATGAAGGACAGGTTCTCATTGAAATCCTAGCTTCAATATCCTTTGTGTTACACTCAGTCCATGAGAATCTGAGTTAGAGACTTCTAGTACAGTTATTTCTTTCCCAGCTCCATCTTGCAGTCTGATTCACTTGGCTGATACCTTGATTCTGTTCCCAAATCTGGGTCCTTACCTGAATGCTTGACTTTTCCTTCTGCTGTTATTTCTCTTTATCTCATGTTTCATTTCCCCCTACTCCACCCCTACTAGAACGTGCCAGTTTTATTAACGTTTTATTACTTTTTAGATTTTAATTATTATCACTCTTATCATTAATATCTAGGTCATATTTTACCACTGTGGAATTTAGACGTTGATTTTTAAAAAGACAGAAAATTACAAGAAAGTTAATAGTCTAATATTATGGAAAGATTATAAAGGAAAAAATTTCCCATGGATATTTCTTACTAAAATACTTGGTTGCCGAAGCATTCCTTCAAATACTTTAAGCAAAGGTTCAGGGAAACAAGCTTGTAACACCATGTGATATCAATCTGCTGTGAAAAAGACTTCCCGTTTGCCTTTTGATCAAAAGTACTTTTTTATATGAAACATGTAATTGTTTAAGAGCCCAACTTCAAAGTCTAAATGTGTGTGTGTGTGTGTGTGTGTGTGTTGTCTAATGGTGTTTTTTTGCTCAAACATAATACTTGCAACTTTGAAATGCATATTAAATGTCTGGCAATAAAATTCATGCTTTCTTAATAACTGATATGCTTATGGTTGAAAGAAAAGGCAGGTTCTAGGTTTTCTTTTTGAACTTTCATTACTACGCAGAATTTAATATTTCAGTTGCATTGTTCCATGAATGGACTCACCCTGACAATGTACTCCTTCGTCATACCCGTCTGGGCAGTCCAAGACACCATTGCACAGCTGGGATAAATGAACACATTTGTTGGTACCAAGGCAAGCAATGTGATTCAAGGGGCACTTGATTTCTACCTCCTCAGGACCTGAAAAAAATGTAAAAAAGAATAGAATTATGTGTTAGCTTTTTAAAATGGTAAAACTGTTAAGCACAAGTAATTACTAGCATTGTTTTACAAAACAAAGCTATAGAAAATACTGTGAGAGAAGAGTGCTGCTCTTGTTCTCAGAGACATTGAAGTTAGCCTATATGATTAAACACCTAATTTTTAAAAGCCCCATAGAAAAGGAAACATGTATTTTTTCAAATAATGCATTAAAAACATAAATATTCTTTCCAAACATTAAAATAGTATGGATTTAAAATCTGAGGGTTGATATGAGTCATTGTGTCATCTCATATCCCTAGATAAGTTGGGCAATGTACTTAAACTTCTTGAATCTCAATTTCTTCAGCTGTGAACTATGGATAATGGTTCTCTGCAGGTCTCTTGTTAAAATTACATCAGGTAACATGAACAAAACTGTTTCAGTGGCGTTTAAGTGAAGTTATGCCAATCTAAAGGTTATATTATTTTTAGTCTGTTCTTTAAGAATATGAAGTTATAAATGTATTTATGTATGACTTATGTATGTATTATGTATGACTTCTATTGTTTAAAAATCTTTTACTGAGCAACTACAATGGAATAAAATTTGCTAAATAACAGGAAGTGAAAAAAAGAACATACTCATTTTTTTTAAACACCAGTGATAACTACTTTGTATAATCACCCTTTGTGTTTTTAAGATAAGCTTAAATCAGAACATATGGTCTTTTCTCAGTTTACCCATTCCAAATATTTATCAAGCATCCAAATTGTATGTTATTTTATCTGAATGTCAGGCTCTCAATTCCCAAATCCTATCTATACTTCTACAAGCACTTTCCAAATCGAAATATGATTCTTCTTCATCTTATCCAGCTTTCCCAAATCCAAAGTGTAATAATTCCAATATGACTACTATCTTATATTTAATCTGACATAGATTATTGCCACAGCCTTGATTCTATAGTCAGATACACTTAAGTTTTAATCAGAACTCTGCTGAGTCCATGGGACATTAATTGATTTAATCAAATAATTATTAGTTTTCTCATGTATAAAATGAAACTATCAAAAGAGCCTACCTCATAGGGTTGTTGTGAATGTCAACAGTTATTCACTACAAAGCTCTGAGCACTGCAATGCAGGCTGAGTAGGAATTCAACATGCATTAGTTACATAAATAAATGCAGCATAGCAGAGTGCTTAACAGACTGTGGAGCCAGATTCCTGGGTCTAAATGCTGGCCCCACTATTCATGAGCTGAATGGCCTGGGCAAGCTGTATATCACGTCTGTATTTCACAGGGTTGTGGTGAGGATTCTATCAAAAGCTCTTAAATACTGTCTGGCAAACACTTAATAAGTGTTTGGTGTTATCATAGTTAAGTAAAAAATGTTCTAAGAAGGTAAGTTGCTTTTTGGTAAATAGTTATATCTCAAAACTCTCTTTTCTGTTGTAAGTCCCTTTCTTCCTCCTGAAAAAAAAAAGTTCAAAAATTTCATGTTTTACTTTCTTTACTTAGTTGAGGTAAAAAAAAATAATAATAATTAAAAGGCCAATCTAACATATTTTAGGATATGCAAAATTATGAGAATTGCAGACGATCGCAATGTGATAAAATTAGAAAACAAACAAAAGAAAACAAAAATATCATACAAGTGAAAAAACAAACTAGACTTGTCAAAAGATAAATATAATTTTGAAATACTTTATCAAATAGGAATTATAGGTGTAAATCATTTTGTTTGATGCTAAAACAGCTTTCTCTTAACCTTTTGCGTTTTGGGGGATATAAACAAATTTTCATGCTGTAGCTTCGCTAGCTGAATTGTTTAACAGATCTCTCTGTAAATTTCATGTGTATTTATATAATTACTACTAAACAAGGCTATTAAATGTCAAACACCTGTCACTCCAAATGCACAACTCATTTTCTGTAACATGCTGATATAACTTGAGGATCAATATTTTTAAAATATATCTTTATTTCCAAATATATTTTATATATATGTGTGCATATATATTAACAAAGTACAAATATACAAATTTGAATACAAATTACAGGAATAAGAGTAAGTGAAAGAGTTTTCACTGAGCCTTTCTAGTTATTTCATCTTATATTTACAATATTAACATAAATGCATTTAAAAATGAATTTTAAAGACACATAAATTAATATTAAAAAGCTATAAACTTCTATGACCAACATCATAAAGTAGCTTTTTAAAATTACTTGGCTGATTCATAAAAATTTTAAAACATGCATCCTTGCATGAATTTCCAAGAGATGTTTAGGCCAGTTATATTTAGACATTTCTGTAAAAGTTCTAAAAGTTACCCACAGAGAAAACACTTCATAAAACTGAGAGATTTTAGAAGTATCAGTTAGAAAACAAAAAATGACTCAGCAGTTCTCACGAGCAGCAAGATTCTTTAAAAAGTGATTCATGTGTTGACTCAAATGGCAGTATGATTTTTCACTGTTAAGATTGCCAGGTAACTGAGGAACATGATAATGATAGCAGGAGTAAAATACACATCTGGTGGCCAGAAGAAAGGCTCAGCTACTTATAAATTTTGAGAAAACAGGAAAAAGTGTGTTTATTTTGCAAAGACAATGTATAGAGTTATTAGATTATTCCTAGTGGTAAAGTTTAGGGACAAGAGAGAAATTAGTCTGGGAGAACTAAAGAGTTAGTTGGTTTCTTTATAGACTAGCTACTATAGTCTTTATCATCTTTGATATACTCTTGTCTTGGTTGCCAGGACTATTGGGTAACTCATGAGACAGCTGGATCACGGCTGGATGAACTGTACCTTAACCAGTCTTTCTCAAATTTTCATGTCAATACACATTAAGACAATCATCATATTTGCAAGGTACACTGGAGTAAACAGCAAAGAATATTTTTAGAGGTGGCCCGAGACCCCGGTGATTAGCCTCACAGTTGAGGGAATAAATATTTCAGACCTCTTTGAACAGTGCTAGGATATTTCAGTTGGAAAACTGCTAAAATCAGTATTTTGTTGTTCTTTCTGGAAAATGGGGAGACAGACAGGGCTGTCTGAGAAATAGCAATGCCTGCCTCAAACAAAATTCTCTCAAAAGCCAGGCAATATGGATATTTCATGTACTGTTACTTTGGGGATTACTCTATTCTAATTTCCAATGATCATTTGTGCAGTGAAAATATTTGTATCCCATGAAGCTCCTTACAGATTCTGTCCATCCTGTAAATGGACAGAACAGTCACTCTGATTACTGCTTCTACCCGTCCACCAGCGTGAGAAGCATGGGATAATGGGGGCTTCATGAATTCCTGAGAATATGGCAATGTTGCCTTCAATTAAATGATTAATTTCATGAAGACTTTCAGGCATTTGAACATTTCACAGCCAGAGATTATAAACGAGGCACAAAAAGGAGCATGACTGGAGGTTCTCTGGTAAACCTGGCATTACCTCTGTAGTGACTGAATCATAAGGAGTTGGGAGGGACCTGGGACAGGGGCGAGGTGACCAGGTAGTGCAGGACAAATTTCAAAATTATACAAAGACATTAAAAACTTTTAGCAAGCATGGTAGTCCTTGTGAGAATGTCACCTCACCTTTCAGCAACATGCACATTCAGAAAACATTCCCTGTCCCTTAAATCTAAATGTAGGTGACCTAAGCAAGATAGCAAAATTGAAAATGTAACAACCTAAAAAGAAAAACTCCATCATTGGGTGACCTAAATTATATCAACCCATGAGGCTAGTATTTATACTTTTAAATTATGTATAAGCCTTGACCAATTAGCAGAAATGGGTTTCATTTCTTACACTAAATCTTATTTTACAAATAATGCTTCCAGGATAATGCAAGGATAATGGGATTCACCTGTATACTTCTGAATGTTTAAATTGTTTTTAAGTATAGAGTGAATATCTTACCGTGTACATTAATAGGGGATAATAAAGGACATAAGTTCCATCAAATGTATCTTCTGATTAAAGAAAATTGAGATAGCATGTTTTGTGGAGAGGGAAATTTTTCTTCTACTCTAATGGCAGACGCAGTCAAATAACTGCACTTATCCCAACACTGTCATATCTTAGCAGAAGCAGCATGACTGCTCCTTCCTCACAGCTAACCTCTCTACCTTACACTATATTATATCCCACCTTTTGGGTCTTCTCCTATCTAGAATTGTCTCTTGGTATTATTTCCCATTTATTTTCCCAATATTTCAAAGTTCCGTGCCTGCAATCTCACTCAATTTTCTTAACGTATACCCAAGAAAAAAAGTTACTTTTGCTGTTTAAACTTTCCTTCAAGCAGTATCCCTTTTTGCCTACTGAAAAAAAAATTTACTATTAAACTTCTTCAAAACACAGACGGCAGCTGCTTCATGCCTATTCCCATTTTACACTAGCCTCTGCTTCTAACATTCTGCCGAACTTCTCTCCAGGGCCTCTGCGGTCCCGGCCACAGTGAGGCCAGAGGCATGCAAAGTCCTCCAAAGACTGACCAGAATGCCTCTCTCTGAGAACATTTTCCACCATTCTTTCTCAGGCCTCTTATATTCTATTCACACCATTATTTTTGTTATTCCTCACAGCATTCCGTGGACATGATTGGATACATTTCACACACGCTTTTTCATAAAATCCCCTCAATCTTCTGCCTGGCAAACACATGATTATCCTTCAACTATATACTGTCCTTTCTTTTCCTACAACTTTTCTGACTTCTCCAAATTCTGTGGCAGATTATAGATTTGTTCATAATTATTGTTTCTAAGTATTTTTCTTCAAAATAAGACTATGAGATATCTGATGTCACTGATTATTTCCCATCTATCTCACCAATGCAAACACCTAGCAGGTTTCATGACACAGAATTAGTACTTGGTATACCATTGTTGAAGGAATGCACACTGCATTTTAACTCCTGGCTAATTTCTACTTCCTCTGACATGCCAGAGGTTACTCTTTTCCACCATTAATGCATTT